GAAGTCCTAAAGAGTCATCCGTTTATCCCAAATCCAAAGTTATTGCTTCAATCTAAATTTATCGTTACTCAGTTGTAAGGATTATGTTAATTTTATTAACACTTAAATTTTAAGTTCCTTTCCTGTCAAATTCTTAACTTCAACTTACTACTTCCGGCCAGAACGTACTTTTGGAATCTTGCTGAATATTTAATGAGGAGGAGCGGTATTTAAACCACGAAGTTACGTACTGAGTCAGAGAGAATCAGAGTTTCTGATTTACGCGCGTCTGCCTTTTTGGCCACTCTCTCTCAGAGCTGTTATTATGCTCGGCCGTACTCAGGCCCTTGCTAAGCTTCGTAGTCAAAAAAGTTAAGGGGCCAACTCGATTTGAACCTTGATAGCTTCGGCTATACTTCTTTAGTTAATCTTAGTTTTAGTTTAATTCTTAGTCTTTTAAGTTCAAGTCCAAGTGCGGACTTTGATTGTACACTCCCAGGCGGAGTTTTGTTAAATCTTATTGGAATTATAAAGGGTTAGTTACCCTTCTATCTTGCTGTTTCTTGTCACCGAACTCAAGCGATTATTCGATAATCAGTTCTTAGATTCTTTTCCAGCATTAACTTAGAATTCCAAAGTGAGGAACTCTACACAGTATTGTACTATTTATTATTATTATCATTTTCTGTTTACTTAACTAGCTTAGAAATAATTTAATTAAAATCCGTTACGTTTATATCATATTTGCAAATCATGCTTGCTTTCCGTTCTTTGCCGTCCAACGTTTTAGAAATGATTTATCAAAATTTTGAAGATAATTAATTCTTCTATTGATGATGATGAGGGGGGGAAAAAAAAAAAACACCCTGATGTGGACAACACATGATTTCCTTTTGTAATTTATAGTACATTTTTTGCTATGCTTTATTAAAACTTATTTCTTCGAATTATTCTAACTTAACCGATCTGTCAATGCAAATTGAAAATGGCGTCAAAAATTGCAAATTTTAAAATTTATCCCGGTCAATTTTGGTCGTACGGGAGTCAAACGTCCAGTTTAATTTTTCCATAGCGATATAAAACTTTCCCAAATATAAGTACAGGAGCCGGAAGACAGTGTTAAACGTTACGTTTCGTTATTTGTCGATTTTTTTTTTTTTTTTTTTAATTTACCATTGCCGAAACGTGAATATTATTCTTTTGTAATTGGAGGTATATGACTATGACCAATGATCGCGAAAATAAAGGCCGGGTATGAGGGTGACGTGTATATATATATATATGTATGTTTTGTTCTTCCGATTGCAATAAAAAAGGGAGATGCACAACTAGATGTTATAGCAGATCCATATAAAAAATTTCAAATTTCTACCGGTAATCGTTTTTTAGTTATGCGAGATGCATATGTATGTACAGATGTCACGAAAAAATCCCTTTTGAAATTCACTATAAATCCATTTTACAATCCGTTTTGGAAAAAACAGTTCTTTATTCTGTCTGTACATACAGACATCACGCAGAATACTGGATTCGTGAACGTTCAAAATGGATATTTGCGTTGAAATATGATACACGGAAATTTCAGCCGATTACAGTACTTCTATGACTTTGTATAAGGAAGTTAGAAAAGTTAGTAATACAAAAATCCTTAGATGTATTACATTTTCAAACTTGTACCTATAAAAGGAAAACAGTGTTAAGAAAACAAATTATGCGCACCGGAATAGCGCTCCACCAGAAATTCCATTTTTTCTAACTTTTTTTCTGTCTAATCTCGTTCCTTTGTGGATAATTGTCTACTACTTTACGAACGTTTGTTTTATCTTCTGGAAAAAAGACGCCTTCATCGTATAACCATTTTATTGTTAGTGGGTGGAAGTTTGCTTGTCTGTAATGTTATGCACATTTTGTTTCTTCCTTGTCTGTAATGTTTGTTTCTTGCTTGTCTGTAATGTTATGCACATTTTGTATCTTCCTGTTCCACCTAACATACTTTTATATTTTTTTGTGTCGTAACGAATCTAGCGGTGTTCCGTTAACTTTCTGCTTTTAATTATAAAAGAAAAATAATAATTATTAATTAATTTATTTATTATATATTTATGATTTTTAGTCCAAAGGGGCAATTGGCCCAGACGGACTATTAATTTCGTTTTGGCATTTTGCGTCGATTCACTATAAACGGCGAATCAATTCTCAAGTTTTTGCCACCAAATATTATCGCCCTGTATTATATTTAAAGAAATTAAATAATGAAGAATCTGCATAAATTTATTTATGTTTCGCGCATTCTGATAAAACAACGTTACCTAGAGCCACCAAATTTTGAATATCGTAATCCTCCACCGAATATGAGCATCTGGAAACCCTAATTTGGAATGTGTTTTACTATCGATTTCATATTTTGTAACACTTTAACGAATTTTTGATTAACAAACTCAACGATTTCAAAGCCAGCACTGGCAACACTGTATAGGAAAAAAAAAAGTATTTTTATCTCCAGCGCGCGAGACTGTGTCGGAAATTCTAAAGATATGCCCATTTTAAAATTATTATTATTTATTTTTATTATAATCTAATCAGAAAATGTTGTGAAGTAGGCGTCGGCTACGTATGGTTTGCTCGTGTCGAAAATGGCATATGGAACGATTTTAAATGCTATGCCGAGTGAACTAAAGCAATTAAAATACATTGAATTGATTAAACAGGAAGACGCCATTTTTAAAAATTTAGATTCAGATTGAAAATTAGGTATCAGAAGTGAGGTGATGAAATAGTTGGAGTTTGTAAAACTCATGAATTCAAAGGTATATTTGCATTGAATTATTACCTACCTCCATATGTGTTGTCATTGTGTGAGTGGTTAGCATAATACTTGGCAGACTAAAATGTGATAGACAAAAATACTGTGCCACTTGGATTTAATCGACTGGGTCTCCCTTTAAGTGGGGCGAATATTTAATTCGAGTATAGATAATTAAATATTGTGATGCATTTATTACAATAAAGTTTATAAAAAACATTCTATTACCGAATGTGTATTTGGAGGATTTGGACGCATTTAAAAAAGAAATGCCAGTTTCAGTCATAATAAATAATTCTGCATTTGGAAGACAATTTCTTAAGAAAGTATAATGTTCACCATTACTTCAGTAACTATGACCTGAAGAATAATTCTCCGAGAACAAAAATGGCCACAAGTATTCCAGAACGTTTTTACCAAACTGCACTTCTAAGTGACTTTCATAATTATTAATAATTTTAATTATAGCTTAATCATAATTAATTACTTTAAAGAATTTAAAGTTAATACTTGTTTATGTTAATAATAATGTTATTGGTTTTCCTCTCTAAACTGTAAGATTCGCTTCTGTAGGTTATGTAACTCGTCATTTTTATTAGTCTAAAGGGGCTTTGTCCCTGAAGAACTATTGTTTTCGTTTTGCGTTGAATCACTATAAATCTCCGTTTCACTTTTCAAAGTGTTGCCACCCAATGTGAGAGTATTGCATTATATTCGAAGAAATGAAAAATGAAAAATGAGCATAAATGTATGTATATTTCTCGCATTGTGATAAAACAAGGGTACATAGAGCCATCGAATTTTGAATGATGTAATCCTCCTGCGAATATGGGCATGTGTAAGCCCAAATTTGAAATTTGGAATTTGTTTTATTATTGATTTCATATTTTGTAAAACTTTAACGAATTTTTGATTAACAAACTCAAGGATTTAACAGCGAGCAATGGCAACATTCTACGGGAAAAAACAACCTTTTTATCTCCAGCGCGCGGAAATGTGTATCGGAAATTCTAAAGATAGGCTCATTTTAAAATTATTTTGCGACATTGATATTGAAGTGAATTTTATGTTTTAAGTGCGAAGAACTTGATATTTAATAAATAAAGGTAACATACAAAACGTTAAAAAAACGCCCTGTTGGAAGTAATTTAAAATCTGAAGCCTTACAGATTTTTTTTTTTTCTTATTAGCAATATGTTTCTTATTAGATATATTAAAATTTTAAATCATTCTTTGTTAATGAGTTTGGTTTTCGTCTTCCCAATGCTAAGAATTTTGTCATAATTTAACGATTTTTTTTCTAAATTTTTTAGGAAATTTAAGGGGGCTCATACACCTTAAAACCCATAAGATATTCGAATAGGTGACTGTTGCAAGAATTGGGATGACTTATTTATTTTAAAAGCAATTACTACCAACTTTTTACAGCTGACTACATAATATAGCTGCTTTCTGAAATAGTAATTAGAAAATTTGTGTTGCCACAAATACGTTTCTAATTTTAATCCGCTTTGTGACAACATTTTTCGCCATGTTTCCAACTTGCGCGCACAGTTTAAAACATTCTGTTTCATAATTTAATTCCATATTTAATATATAGCTTTTATAAATTTTTGGAAACTACTGTGAACCTAAAATTCTAAAAATTTCATGTTAAATTTTTATTTTATTTTGAGTTGAGTTTACAAAATGTATTTTATTAACAAAATTTTTAATGTTTTCGTCTATAAAATTTTTCAATATTAAAATATTCATCAGATTGTTGGTTCAGTTAGAAAGTAGTGCCCATATAAAGAATTCCATCCAATTTCAAGTATGTACCATTAGCCATTTTTAAAATATCATGCGCGCAAGGTGGAAACATGGCGAAATATTTTGTCACAAAGAGGATTAAATTACAAAAATATTTGTGGCAACACAAACTTTCTGGTTACTATTTTCAAAAGCAGCTATATTATGTAGTCAGCTGTAAAAAGTGGGAAGTAATTGCTTTTAAAATAAATAAGTTATCTCCATTCTTGCAACAGTCACATATTCGAAGATCATAAGTATTTAAGGTGTATGAGTCCCCTTAACTAAAACTAACTGAAATTTTCTAATGTTATTTTCATTATTTCTCGCCTGTAAAATGTGCTGCTTCCCTTACTAATATTTGAAAACATTTTTTTCAAATTTATTAGAGAGATTTAAATTCTGATGGTGTTCTTTCTTGTTGCAGGAGCCATGATTGTAGTGGTGAGGTGGTGTGAGGTAAGGATGACCTTGTTTCACCACCTGAAGCTGAAGCGACCCCGGATGAACAGCGGCGATCACACCCCCAGTATGTCTCAGCATCCCCCCACCCCCTCTCGCAAGAAAGCCACAGCTGTGGGAAACGGAAACAACGACCAAGCAATAGAGAAACGGCCGGAAATTGGTAATTTCTCTTTACATCAAACCTCTTTTGTTTTTTGTCCTACACATCTTACTGCATTTCCCTTCCTCCCCTCTAGTGCCTTTTATCTTCCCAGTTGTTCAATTTAATTAATGTTTTACGTGTAATATTTTAACCATTTTTTTAAAAAGGATTTTTCTGTGTTATTCAGTTGTGTGGGAAAATTAAAAGAAAGGAAAATTTATGAAGCGTATTTCGTGCGTTTGACTCTTGGGAAGAGACTGCTTAAAAAGGAAAAGAGGGGGGGGGCTTGTTTCAAATTAAGTTCTTTCTCTCTCGCCTTTTTTTTTTTTTTCTATCACCGCCTTTTATATCTGATATTTTAATTATATCATTTTACAATATTAATATTAAATGATATTTTAAAATGTATTGTGATAAGGGCGTACAGTTTTCAATTACGGTACCAATAACAGTATAGGACCAACCCAATGTCGCCATATTGCCAAGTATGGCGAGTTTTGGGGATTTCTCGCCCACATTTGATTTATTTCTCCCCCAGTAATTTTATTCCTCGCCATTTAAAATTTACATATTTAATATTTAAAATGATATCATTTTTAAAATGCATTGTAAAATAAGGGCGTTACAGTTATTCAATTACAGTATCAATAACAATTATATATGGACCGGACCCCAATGTCGCCAAATGATTGCCAGGTATGGCGAGTTTGGGCGATTTCTCGCCAAATTTGTTTTATTTCTTCCCCAAGTAATTTTATTTCTCGCCATTATAAATTATACTTGTTAAAATTTAAAACGGATGATGTCATGACTTAAAATTAAAATTTAAAAGAGATGATGACATCATATTTACTATTTTAAATTATAGAGCTTACGATTGCACTGACATAAATGTATAAATTAAGTAGTGATATAAGTAGTGCAATGTAAAATTCTAAGCATTGATTGATGAATGAGTATTTTCGAATGGGAGAGTGTTCATTTTCTCTTGTGAAAGCAATTAAAAGCAAAATTATTTGGATAATTTTCTAGAAAATCACCAATTAAGGAAAAATATCATCAAAGTAGCATGCTTTGACGAAAATAAGTCAAGTATTTATTTCAGTCTGTCTTTTCGATGAACGGCCTGTAAGATTTGCCAGTCCATACAGCATAAGATCTTTCACTACTTGTTCGTGTAACAAAATGAGCTATTTATAAACAACATACATTTCTATATAATACATCATTTTCACTACCAGAGTTACGAATTTTCGTTTTTTGTTACATTAACTTAAACGCATTTGCTAGGTTGTTTTTCGATAGTTGAAAACACAATAGTGCTTTCACCGGGAATCGAACCTGAGACCTTTTAGATGGTAGCTAGATGTACTGAAAGATACAAGAGTTCATGGGGGGGATAACTTTTAATTTTTGCATACCTTCCTTCCTTTTAATGAAGCGATGATGAGAGGCAGTGATTCTCAGTCAGCCTATACAGCATGTATTGTGTTCTATAATATTTTTAGTTCGGGCGCCACTGTAGTTTCCTGCTGCCATTAGACTTTTGGCTGCAGGAAATCTTCAAAAATCAGCTATGCTATCTGGTGAGTATCGAACTGGTGTTCTTGAGTAGGAGATGCTGAGCTATATTCTAAGGATGTGTAAGAATCAAATCAGTTCCTTACAAAACCATAACTAAATTTTTTTCGAAACCAAACGTAACGCGTCAAATCTTTGGATGCATTTGCCTGGAAACTGCGAATTTTCAGATTCATGGTTTAAGCTTGTTGCTAACGATATGTAAAAATATTGCTCTTGAAAGCGAGGCACACTACTGACATTTATTTTTTTTTAAATCTGATGTGTACACCACATGACTTCCTTGTACGGAGTATTAAATTAGATTTTTTCTTTTTCTTTTATTAAACTATAAATTGAATTAATCCTACTTCGCCGACAGCGCATAAACCACAATCGAATAAATGCATTCTTTAAATCATCTAGTTTTGTTTATCATATCGAAAATCTGACGCTAGGTTTATAACAGTATTATATTCGTTCATATTATAACTCAAACGCACAAAATTTATATAATTTAAAGAATATCTAATCGTTGCCACATGTTCTATTCAAATACTATATAAAGTAGAACTATAAAAGAATTAAGCAAACAAAACAAAAAAGAAACAGTTTTTCACAGACGATTGAGTATTTCTCATTAATTAATCAGTTCACTTCCGCAAGGCAAAAATACATAAAACTAAGTATCTGTATTAAAAATACTAGTACATCTCAAACCTTATTTCCTCGAAAAAATTCCAGAAGCTTAAGCATGATTTAATAATAAAGAAGGCGTTATCTGTTTGTTGCGAAGCTAAATTTCTCGATTGGCAACAAATCCGCTCCTCATTGTTTCAAATGTAAACAAGAGCAATGCCGCCATAAATTAGGTTACGGATATTAAACAACTTTTAAAATTGCTGAATTCTAAACATATGCACACAAACAGATTACTAAGGATAATCCACCGAAGATAAAAACAACACATTCATTCATTTTTAAAGCAAAACATGTACATTACAACATAAGAGTAAAGAAACTGAGATCATGAGCCGGGGGGTAACAGAGGTGGATATTGTAAATATATTTATATACGTTTGGTGCGGCCGATTGAAACCAAAATTCGAGGGTGCCATTTACATATTTGTATAGTGTCTGATACAAAATTTCAACATTCTGGGCTACTCGTTTTTGAGTTATGCGAGATACGTATTACGTACATACGTCGTAGACGCCACGAAAATTCTCTTCAGAATTCATTTTAAAGCAGTTTTTAGTTTTTTTTTGGAGGAAAAGAGTCTTTTTCTTCCTTACGTACAGATTCACGCAAAACATCGTTAAATTGCATCGAAAGCGGTCAAAAGTGGACATTTCCGTTGAAATATGCTGCCTGAAGCTTTTCGCGATTACAATACTTCCTTTTTACTTCGTACAAGGAAGTAAAAATCGAGGTAAGGTAACTCGCAAGTATCTAGTTATGTGGAAGAATGCCTTTCCTTTGGCTTCGCAGCTAAAACGTTGTGTAGTTTTGGTAAATTTATAGTTTATTGATAAACTTATTGTTATTGTAGAAAGAACACTTCATTTTAAAGATAATTTCTTAAGAAAGTCTAAGGTTCACCAATACTTCAGTAACTCTCAGAATGGTTCTCCAAGAATTAAAATGGCCACAAGTATTTCAGAACGTTTCAACCGAACTGCACATGTAAGTGACTTTTATAATTATTAATAATTTTAATCCTAGATTATTCATTATTACTTAACTTAAAAGTATTTAACCTATAAAAGGAGAAACAAGCCAATATATAGAATTTAAAATTAGCTAAAAGAAGCAAGATTATTCTAGATTTTGAATAAACTCTATCTGTTTCGACTCTCTCTTCTCATGATGATAGGTCTCTCTTCGTCAGGAGCAAAATGTTTTATAAAGATGATAAGAGTAACAACCATATTTATTATGGGATCAGTAGGTGGAAATGAACATACCGTTATCTGTCGAGGAAAGCGTTAATGAAACACAAAAAAAGCTAGTATCGAAAGTTTGGATTTTGAAAGCGTTGAAAAAAACTGAATTGTAATTTATGACACGAATTGGGGAAGATAAATTTTAATGAATGTGAAAGGCTTCAAGAAAATTCAGTTCTGCAACTGAAAGGCACATCTTTAGATCTCCATGTACTGTAACCCTTTGACGGTTATGGAAATGAGCAGTTTTCGTTTACTTAATTCGCGCAGCATTAGGAGTAAACAGTAGTCGAAAGTGGCAGCTGTTTCCCCTCCCCACTGCCATTCTTCCGAAAATGTCACCCTTCTCTGGCAATGCCGTAGATAGCTCGCCTCGCGCGTTTTAAAAATTCTTAAAGTATTTTGTAGAAATACAGTTTTACGTACTTTAAAAATAATTATTAAACAGTAATATAAATGTTATACCAATTATTAAATAATAATAGTTGATTAAAATATAAGACAAATATTAAATTGAAAGACTAAATAAATACAACTATAAACTTTATGAAGCACAGTATAAATACAGTAATTACCTAAAAATCTTTTGTGTGTTACTTTAAAACGGGAATTGCACATAATGGGGCATTACCAGTCTTTGCAATACGTACGTGTTTCACGGCGATTCTTTTTCCATTAGCATCATTTTTGCTTGCAACATACCACACATCGTCTAGTAGGTTCTTTCTATAGAGAATTTCAGAATATTTGTCACGCAAGCTTTCATGCCTACATCACCAGTAAAACTAATTGGCTAGGAGCGTGAGAACTTGAATCAGTTATACACCACTGTCGAACACTCAAAAATCTTCCTCATCACTTGAATCGTCTTCTGAGCTTGAAATACTGTGAACAAAGTCTTCATCAGATTCAAAACTTGATAAGCTTCTGTATCACAATCATAATCATCATCATAACTATCTAATTCGCTTTGAGCCATTTTTACTCTACAAACACCTTAAAAACCGCGCCAAATACGTATAAAATGAACAAGGTCAAAAAAAAATCCACCTTCATGCAAAGAATTCATGGAACTCGTACTGCCTGCCATCTGTAGAAGTAAAACTAACTAATTTCTCGAGTAGCATTCGTTTAAAACACAATTAGTGCAGAATAATAATGGCGAACGAAGTCAGCTCGTCAGCGCGCATTGGGGAAAAATTTCACTACGCGAGTAGTGCTCGTTACTAACCATTTCGGTCAAAATCTTGCTCCCGAGCGGAACTCGTTTGCGCGCATTATGAAGCACGATTCGATTGCGAACTGAACTCACTCATAACCATCAAAGGGGTAATGTAGGATTGCTTTTTTTTAACTGATTTTAAAAATCCTGCAGTCTTTTTTTTTTTTTTTTTTTTTTTTTTTTTTAACACTCGAAAGTAAAAGGTAAGCAATATATAGCACTATTAGTGAGTAAAAGTGAGTTGCTTAACCACAGAGGTTAAAAGGTAAGTATTGTAACATTTTTTATG